TAAGTAGTGTCCTTTTAGACATTAATGCAGAACTTGACTAAGTCTTCTCTTGAAGACAGGAAACATATTTGGGGAAATTTGTGTGATATTTGCCAATAAAGGCCCAATGTGGGGAAGTTATTTTACCTAGGATCTCATTTTTTATTGTTTTGTGGCAACAATCGGCATCCTGTGGAACTCTGAAAAACACACATTGCAAATCTAGTTTATGTCATGTTCACTCCAGAAATTGCTAAGTATGCATTTGGTGTTCTGAAACCATAGGCATGCCTCAGAGAAAAATAAGAGAACAAAGGGAAAAAACAATTTTAGTGAGGCCATTGTATAAAGAGCATTTTCACATTCAAGACTTTTCTCTGCTCCCAGGACCTCTCCACTGTTCGTCCTTTCCTTACCAGCCTACTTCCGGACCTTTCCAAGAGATTGTGAATAAGAATGTGTTTGATATAGTAGATGTTATCTTAAAATATCATTTTGCGATACTTTCAGGTCTCATGTCCAAGTTCTTTGATGTGAGTTATTTAAATTTAAGAACAATGGTAAAAGATGAAAGACTAAAAAAGCCCTCTTGTATTATTTCTCTGTTTGTAAAAAATAATAACTTAATGTCATATGTGATGATATAGTGAGTCAGGAAACATAAATATCTCCAGGGAAAACTTTGTTCTATTATCTTCCCCCTAGCATAATTGTCCATGGGGAAAGGGATATTAAATAAAATTCTGGTTTGAAATGAATCATGTTTGTTTCTGTCAGTGTTCTTATTTCTTCTTTGAAGTGAAATGTTTAGAAGACATTATAATGAATAAAGAACTGGAGTTATTGCAAGTTAGTATTAACCATCAGAACTCTAAAGGGTCCATGGTTTTAGACAAATCAAGGAGTCCAAAAGAAAACATTTCAGAATAGGAATAACAAGACTTGAACTTGGGTTAGAAAGTGTCATCTAATTTCTAATTGTGCAGTGGTACTTCAGTTCATGAACTTGATTCTTTCCATGATTCTGGATGAAAACCAAGTTGAATGAGAACTAAACTAACAATGCTTAGGTTCAATGTTGACCTTATGGAGAAATTTGACTCTGTTTGGGTCCAGATCGATTTGCAACCAGAATTGTGGAAAACATTAAGTTTGTGGACTGAGGCACCACTGTATTTCATGAAGCATATGTTTTGGGTCTCTATCAGAAATACAAAGTCAGATGAGTTATACAAACTTATCAGATTTCTCACACATGTTCTCATTTGAATACATTGGAACCTTCTATTCTGGTCTTGTTCCTACCACGAACTACAAATGTAATATGAGCCCAAACTCATACACTCAGTGTCCGCATGACATCGCTGTGAAAACAAGGAGAATGAGGGAAAAAATACAGACTCTATGTTGTTGAGACTTAGAAATACAGATAAGGGGCACTGTTGTTGTGCTGGGTTTAGTAACAATGGAAGTCATAGTCAATGTGGATAGCCAACTCATATATATATTTCTATATTTTCATCTTTTTATATTATATTCACATATATAAACTTACTGAAGCTATGAGTTACTATTTAATATACTTTCCTCTCTTTCATTATGCCTTGTAGAAGTTCATAAAATTAACTGGGTTCAAACTCTAGAACAAAAATCAGTAGAGCATACTGACAAGAAGTCCAGGTTGTAAAGTTAGAGTGGTCCTGAGTGGCACAGTTTGTAATAGCTAAAGCTTGGAAACAGCCCAAGTGCCCATCAACTGGAAACTGGATAAAGAAGATGTGGGTTTTTTATAAAATGGAGTACTATTCAGCCATAAAGAATGAGAAACTAGAGACATTTATAGCTAAATGGATGCATATTGAGGCCATACTCTTAAGTAAAATAAATAGGACACACATGTGTAAACACTGAATAGCTTCTCTAGTGTGAGAAACTGAAAGTGTAAATAAGGATTAAAATGATTAAAACAAATAGTTGATAATTTGAAATATTAAAAAGTCCAGAGGTGTAGGGATGGTGGGAGGGGAAGGGGAAAGGAAAGAAGGGAAAGGAAAAATTATGAGAAAAGAAAAAAAAGGAAACAAAATCTATGTAAATAGGGAAGGGTGGAGGGGGTGAAGGGCACACAGGTAATGGGGAAAAAAATAAGAACTAAGATACATCATGTGCAGGTACAAGCACCCAATGATAAATGTAAATGTATTGTTTACCTAAAATGTACCAACAAAAGAATTTTTTTAAAAAGTTAGGGGGGTCTGCCTGTGAACCCTGACTAAAAATACATGTGATTTTTGAAAGTTTCTTAAATTCTCTGAGTCTCAGTTTCCTCATCTCTAAAATGTCTGTCATTTCATTTTTGCTCCCCTAGAGGGGTGAAAATTAAATAACAACTACTATAATATTTAAACTTTGTGCTGTGCTTTGAGCAGAGCATGCACTGTGGTAAACACTGTGATGCACGGGCAAAAACCCTCGTGTCCCAGGCTTGGGGTCTGTGCAATGGTGAGCTAAAGAGGCATAAGAAACAAGCAAAAGCTTCATACCAAATAATACGGAGGATTATGGTACAGATAAGAGGAAAGGTAAAAATCAGGGGGTGCTGCAAAGGAGTTCAACGAAAGACTTGTCTGACTTTTATTATAGAAACCTCTTCTTTGGCACAAATGAATCAACTGGATGTGAGCACAAATTGCAGAGACAGATCTATCCCTCCAGGCAAGCCAAGTGCTTATTTTTATTTCTTGTCCAGCTCTGCAGCTGAGAGGTTCGTGCTGGGTTGCTTTTTGACCAGTTTCTCCCTGCAACTTCTCTGTTGGTTCTTTGTTCTGTAGGAGGAATGGGGACTGAGCACACACTAGCTTAGGACACATCAGCGATGTTCCCTGATGAGCAATGGGGTGAGATTGGCTCCTGATCCTAATGTGTCTTCCAACTGCTGTTCATCATTTCAGGCTGCCAAGCTGTGCTGAAGTGGTCTAGGGAACAGACGCAAAGCAAAAGGGCTCATCAGAAGAATGGCAGATTATCAACACTGCTCACTTTAAGCCCTGCTTGTGATAACAAAACAAAACATGCTTGAGTATGTTTGTCATTGTGAACCACTTCTTTAAAGACCTCTGCTCCTAGGATGAGAGACACATTTTATCACTCGGTCCTCATTCTCACATCGTGTAGAATGCATTACCTCATGCAAAATAAATAAAATGCAGAAAGCAGCATATATTTTCATTAAAAATATTTGCATGAATTATGCACAAAATAAACAGTTTGGGGAATATCAAGAATAGTCAAAATTGGCCAGGATTTTGATCTGAAATAACTTTCAAATCAGGATCAAAACTGAATGTTAAAATACAGATTTCAACTTTGTTCTTCCATTCTGCCAAAATCAGAAGAAAACTGTAGAGATGCTATTTTCTGCCTACCCTACTTACTGTTATAATGGTAAATGGTAAATGTTACTATCCTAATAAAGCAAGCATCAATATATACAGTCTCAGAGGCAGCATCTTTGCTTTGTGTGGTGATGGGGCTATGAGAGGGCCATTAATAAATTCCAATAGCCTTGTGGTAATGAGGCATCAGTTTTCAGTGTTGTCTGAAACATCTTCCTTTGGTGATTCAACTCTGTGATGGTTTTTTTACAGACACATAAGTAGGACAACTTTGGATTAGTGCAGCCATATTGTGTGGTGCTCAGAAGTTTCACCAGCAGAGTTCTATAGCTGCATGTCAGGATACAGTTTAAGCTCTCAAATAACTTCTATGTTGTAGGTTAGATTGGCAATCCACATGCTTTTCCCACATTCACGAGAAATTACCAGCAGCATTAAGCTCTGTTGTCAGTGGAATGGAATTGTTGAACCCAGCACAGAAAAGGGAAATTGATTTGATTGTAGTCATATTTCTGAAAAGAGCCAGAAGGTTAAATGCTCTGAAAGGAAAATATATATAAACCGTGTTTCTCTGAGCTCTACCTGTAAGATTCTTTCAAAATTATTTGCTAGGTGAATTTAATAGACAATCATAGAATTATTAGTATGTACCAGTTACTGTTTATACTAATTCACATCTATAAATAAGCCTATGAAGTAGTTACTATCTCCACTTTAGGGATGAGGAAACTGAGGTATAATTTAAATGTCTTGTGCAAAATCTCAGCACTAGAGTTAGAATTTATACATCAACTCTCCCTTTCTCCCTCTCTCTATCTCATAAAAACTGAGATATGATCTGTCAGTTTAGCATACAACAATATATGAAAATCCTATTTCCAATGTTCCCTAGAGGAATTCCTTTTTTACATATAAGGAAAATTACCTGTAAATTTCTAGGACCATAATGATCCTGTAAAGGAGTGTATAAAGGAGGAGATAACAGGAATGTGTGTGTCCATTTCCATATCAACATGTTAATACATGTTAATAAATTTTAGAGTGGATATTTTTCAAACCATTACTGTTTTCATTAGTAAATACAAGATTCAATGATGATTGCTGGATTATATTCCTTCTTGTATTTTATGGTAGAGTTTTATTATTTCATATGTGTAACTCTTGAAACCTGGGATATCCCTGAAAAAAAAATGTTCAAAACTATTTCAATTTGCAATCCACCTGCTTTCAAATGTTACTTTCTTTCATCCAAATGTTACAGTTGGCAATAAAACTATAAGATGAGAGCACTCTCTACCTTTCATATCATCTTTCCCTAAATAAAGGAACACATGAAATACTGCTCCAAACAATTCAGGGTCAGATCCTTACACTTCCGTCTGTACACAATGTTTTTCTTTGGCAAAGGAAACAGCCTAGGAATATGTAGGGGACAAAAACATAACAAAACAAACAAGCAAACAGACAGATATGCAGTCTCTGAGAAATAAATACCCCTAAAGAGGCTGTCTCCCAGGGAACTGCAAATCTCAGCCCCTTTCTGAGGAAATGAGGTCTTCGGATTTCTGACAGCTATTTCCCCCTCCACACAATGAATGCTGTCATGAATTAACTAGCGAAAAACTGTTGGGTTGGAGAGAGCAATCTCTGCCTCTTTCTGAGCATAGTGAGCTATCCGAGGGGTAGTGGCAAGAATCCTGCTCATCCCAGGGCTGGTTCACTCCCGTAAGCCACCCTTGGGCTTCTCACAGATAAAATAGCCCGGTGCTGTGGTCGTTTCCTCTGAGCAACCTCTCTCCTTACGCCCGGTCCTGGGGAGCTCCATTCGTCCAAATGGGAGCTGAGTTTGCAAGCTGCCAAGGGCGGCGGGGCTGGGGCTGCTGATGTCAGAGCCAAAAGACAGTTGTGATTGGATCTAATTAGACTTTGCAGCAGCAAATAGACAAGCTCCCTGCGTGATTGGCTTCAAAGTGTCTGGTGCCAAACAACTAGCAGAGGTGCAAAAGTGTCAGCTTTGCGCTGGGAGCCCAGATGAAGAGGTAGCCCGAGGGGAGCTCGGGAGCTCAGGACGCGCGCACCTTTCCCCGCGCCTGCTGTCCGAGGAGAGGTTCAGAGCTCGGCCCCCCGACAGAGGCCCCCAGCGCAGCTGGAACCAAGTGCAGAGAACAATTAGAGAACGCGCGCTCCCTGGCTCGCTCGGTCTAAAAAAGTGAGTCGGCTCCTGATTCGGAGGAGAAGCTTTCGCGCCGCCAGCCCGGCAGCTGCAAGAGCGAGAAAGGTGCGACTGCTGAAGGAAAGGCTGCGCTCGGATTCTCCTGACTGGGTCTCGGCCATGGCATCCGTCCTGGGCAGCGGCAGAGGGTCCGGAGGGCTAAGTAGTCAACTCAAATGCAAGTCCAAGAGGAGGAGGAGGAGGAGGTCCAAGAGGAAAGGTAAGAACCTCTCTCAGCGCTTGCCCGCCCGCTACAACTCTCCGCGTCCCCCTTGCCTTCCAGTCTCTGGGGTTTGTCTATCGCGAGCAGTTGCCCTTCAGGATGCTCCTGGGATGTCCACAGAGAGGAGAGCAGGGCACTTGCAGGTTCCAATCCCTGGGTAAACGGCCGGGCGCTTCCTCAAACCCAGAGGGGACTGCGAGGAGCAGCGCGCAGCTCCGCCGCGGGGTTTGACAGGCGCCCGGAGGAAAGGAGGGAGCGGATGTGGTCGAGGAGCGCAGGTCCTGGACTAGAAGCCCGTTTCCCTCTCCGGGCACCGCGGGCCCCACTCCATACCGGTGGCTGGCACTGCCTTCCACCGTCTTGGAGACCACGTTATCCAACGGTGCCAAAGGAAACACTCCTTTAAGCCAACACACATGAAAACAAGGCAAGGAGTTCTCTCGCCAGCTCTCCCCATCCAAATCGTCTCCTCCGAGGAAGGAGCAGGCAAAAAACTCTGGCAATCGCCTCCCCAAATTGGCTTGCAGTTTTTATCTGGTGGTGTATCCTGTTGTTTTGTAAGCGCGGGGACGTACAAAGAGCACAGAGCTCGTCCTTGGAGAAATAAGCAGAAATTAGTAGATGAAAAGAGACATAAAAGCATTGCCCCTTGTTAATGGCAAAAAAAAAAAAAAAAAAAACAAACCTGCAAAGGAGAAAAAGCAACAGATGACAGGTTGCTACTGACAAACTGTCGTGTTGTGCCTCCTGACTGATATTCTTGGAGATGGCCCCTACTGAAGTTAGTCAATGTCATCACAAACTGAGGGCTTCCACACAAGGGCTTGTGTAAAATTAGCAATTGCTCCAGTATGAGAGACCACATATATCCTAACATGCTATTTGTGGGCGTATATCCCACCGAAGGGTTAAAAAATTATTCTAATGCCGAGCCTCCTTTCTCAGAGAGGAACTTGTGTTATTGTTAGCTCCTTATTGCGGGTCTGCTGGAGAAAGTTCAGTTCTTATGATTACTGGAAATGTCTTGCTTTTCTTTTTAAGTGAATATAGAGCTATGAAGAAGAGTTGGAAAGGCACAACTAAAATCTGTTATATTTTCCAGTTGTTCTAATGCAGATTGTATTGTTAGATATGGCAGGGGTTATATATCTTCCCTGGAGAATTTTCATCTTTGTAATGACCCAAGACAAGTTGCTGCCAGATTGTTCCATAACTGTTCTCTAACGGTTCCCGACTCCTTTATTACTTCTTCCAATAACAGAAATTAGCCAGACAGTTTGAAGACATACATGTCAATAGCAAACAGTCATTAATTATGATCGCATGTCAGGACCACTGGGAGAAAATATGACCTGACAACTTCCTTCAAAGGTACCGGAAACTTCCTTCAAAAGGAGGACAATTTTGCAACTCCGGTTTAACTCTTAAACTGCTAAAATATATGCTTGCTGATCACTTTGCCATCTGAAAACATTTTGAAACCAACTTGTTACTGTCTCCCAAACATAATGTTCACAAAAGTAACATCAATTTTAAGATTATAAAAGGATTCAATAGTGAATATAACTTTAAAAGAAAACATCATCTTCCCACTTCAAGTGTTCCTCTTTACTAATATTTTTGTTTAGTCTATTTAAATATTTAAAATTAAAGAATATAGGATAACATTTCAATAATGCTTTCTATAGAAACATAAGCTGATGGAAATTCATACCTTCAAGTTAATTTGTCTTATGATTAAATGTCAGATATACTAACACTGAAAGTATTAATTTGGGGAGAAAAAAGAAATCTGAAGACTTTTTTGCTACAAACTTAATTATAAAGATGCAAAATAAAGTTATTATAGAAAACATTTCTATACCTTAGTAATTACACCAGTTCTCTTAATTTTCATACCCAAATATTGAAGTGGGAAAAGGCAATCAGGATCTTCATATAAATTCCTGTTACGGATAGATTCCTGTGGCACATGCTGACAGCTATTGTTGTAGGAAAGTAATATCCAACTGCTAAATATTCACTTTTGAGAGAAAAGTTAACTAGGTAGATAAACTTGATCAAATTAAAAGATAACATGCAAGCTATGGGACACATTAAATAATTACATTTTGGGGGGATAGTGTAGTTTATAATTCCTATTACGGATGCTTGTTTCTCTGTTCTACAAAGAATAATAGGGGGTTTCGTCTTAATAGTCAAGCATCTTAATCATAACAATAAAATGCTCTCAACTTTTAATGTTATCTATAGTAAAAGTCTTTCCTTGTAGCAATTTAAAGTTCACATGTGCACAGATTACTGTTAAGAAATTTTAGTAAGGCTTATTGAGTAGTAAGCTCAACTTAAAGGCTGTTTCTATAAGTGAATAAACACAGTTACAGTAAACATTTGCCTTTTGCCTATGGTATATATATTTCTACCTTTTCTAATGGACCTGAGTCATGTTTGAAGATGCAAAATAACATGGAGTTTGACAGCATAATGAAATGCTATTCATCTTTCCTATACATACCCTGTGTGGCTTTGGAACTGCATGCTTTCTATTGTCAAAACTACCTATGAGCTCTCAACGAAAACACTGCAGCTTTAGCTTACATGGGGTGATGATATGATATTTTCACTATTATTAAGTATGATTGAATACATGTTCCTGGAAATGAAATCCTTTTCTATGTAAGGTAGTTTAGGGCATTGCATCACACAGGAAGTGCTATGTATCTTCAAATAATACAAAAGAGAAGAAAAAGAATTCTTAGTCTCAGAATATGACTCTCAGGAATTAACTGATAGTATCTTGCATCTCTCTGTCAAATAAACTTTAAAAAAAGATACTAGGAATAAATCTGCCCCTCTACCAATCTCACTTCTATTTGTTTGTTTGTTTGTTTCTGGACCTGGTGTGGGAGTTTTGCATTTTCTCCATGTGTGCAATTTTTTAGTTGGAATTTTCTTTTACAAATTACTTGCAAATGATTCATAGTTTCTATACAAATAAGAAATGTCAAAATTTGACTTTTATATGAAAGAAAGACAAGCAACTAAAATCAACAATAACTGTTAGGACAGGAAAAACATCTCGTTTTTCCATATATGACAAAGCAATATCCATATCCTATGTAATATGTGAATGCCATCAGTTCATTCTGTTTCTATTCCATTCAGGAACCTTGAGAAAATCACAGTAGCATTCGCAGTTTGTGGAAACTGTTGCCTGTTATCACTAAGTACCCATATATTTCATTCCTCACAGAGAGTAGAGAGATCACCTTTTACCTTATAGAACTTAATAGAATTGTGCAAGGTGATTATGCAAACCAAATCTATTATGTACTTATACGGATAATGTCTGCTTGTATTTAAAAAGAATTATGTGTGAATATTATAAAAGTCTACATTTTCATCCCAAAATAGTAAAGGTTAAGGTTTAAGTATTTTTATTAGTGTCAGCTCAATCAGAAAGTCTAACAAGTAAAACTCAATGTAGTTTATGAAAATAAATCACTTAAAGATTTATCAATTAATCTTTGAACGATGGGGTACTGTCAAGATAAAATGTTTGAGGAATCTCAGAAAGATGTTTCCATTTATTAAACTGATGCATATATTCTGCTTTATAATCTGTTTTTCTCTCTTTTATAAGTATATTACTCCCTCCACAAAAAAGCTATGCATTGGCATAAAAGGCATTTTGTAGATAATATATTTTTCATATTCCCCGTATTACCATACACAATGTGTAAAATGATAAAATTGCTGGAAAGTAAAAGACAAAAATCTCTTTCAGCGCAAACATAAATGGAATATACATTTGGAAGCAACACAAATTTAACCAGTTCCATAAGGTATATTGAAGGATAGAGTTATAAGAAGTATTATGTTGATCTATTATAAACTGGAAAGAAGCAGGTATTTTGGGGAATTATTTGAAATACTATATATAAACAGTCATTTAATAAGTCAGTGAAGTTGAATTTGAGCATTAGTAACTGATATGTGTGTGGGGGGTTCATTTGACAGCAAAAGAAGTTAATGCTTAAAATTTAGGTCTTGTTCTAGGACGGTTGGTTCTACAGTTTCAGGAAATTGAAAATGCATTTTGAGAACAGCAACACAAGGTAGCTTCATGAAAGTTAAGTGATGGATCACATGAAGGTAATAGAGAAGGAAGCAGGTTGCTGAATATTGTGAAATGCAAATAAAAAGTTGGCAAAAGGGATGGAATAAGTCGAGCAGCAGATGGATGGCAGACGCTGACTTGTTGTGAAATGAAATTCCATGAAAAATTAATGAAATAGAAAGATTGTGCTCTGGATGAGGGTACAGTGACCATGTGGCTCTCTATGCCTTGCAATGCCAGAGTCACCCATGCCGCTGTCACCTGGTTGGCAAGGGGTGCAGCCCTGCTATCCCATCAGCTCCAGCTCAGACAGACTGTGCTTATCTCACTCACTGACAGCTGGGGAAGAAGGACTAGATTTAGTGATAGAATCAAATTGATTAAACCATTGCCCAGCATCTAATAGTGTGGGGCTTTATTTTTTCATTCTTTCTCTCTTCTTAAAATTTATATTAGTGCTCTGGTTTCCAGTGACCCATGTAATAAGAGCAATTTGCAATTGCTTCAAGGGTATTAGATATGATGCGTGAACTTTAATTTGGAATGAAAATATAAGATTAACATATCCATATCTAAACAGTGATGATTGTGGAAGAGCCAATCTGAAAGCATTATGCAAGGAAACATGAAGTAGGGAATTTTCATTTTCATTTTTGAGGTGTGAAAAGGTAATTTATGTTTTGAAAGCATCCTGTGTTAAATTTAAGAATCATATATATAGATGTTATAGATGCACATAAATATATTACTATTTGTATATATGCCATGTAGATATATATATGTATCTATGCCACAAAGACAGATAAATATTTGAGCAATTTTTATACCTGTTTGCTTCTTTTTCCAAAATGTTAGAAAATGAATGTCAATATTTTTG